GTCGCCCTTGCAATCCAAACATCGCGGTTTCCCTCCACTACGAATCTTCCCGTGACTGGAAAAACAGTAACACACAGCTGAAAATGTTACCACCATTCGAGCACCCCTACAGCTTCTGTCTTGTGTGCGTTCTCTCATGGGCCCTTGAGGACTGAAAACTACTGAAGCTTTTCTCACAAACCGAACATTCGTACGGTTTCTGCTGTGAATCTTCTTGTGGCTGAAAAAAGTGAGCCAAAAATCATTCTCACCAAAAATATATACAGTTAAGAACTTATTAGTTGCAGCACGGTTTGCGCAGTCATGGAAGCTGTCATTTTTGCCGCGTATGGACGAGTGGTTTGCTATGTAACTCTACTGAATAACAGTATGTAAGAGTATCTGTGAAGGGAAAACAGAGATTCAAGAATGGTTTGTTAAATTGTGGGATAGACTTGGGTCAAAAGAGCTGGTCAAAGAAATTAATTAATTAATGATTTAATTGTGGCTGATAGATAACATTAAATATATGGGCCAGTGGAGACAGGTGGATTCTGGGTATTGCGTTAAGATTTCCATGGAGTGATTGCATTGAGAATTGACTTTTTAAATGACTTCTTTGTGTTAAGTATTGTAATATTTCTTCTTTCTCTCGGCAAGTAATGTCACTTTTGCAGTTGATATAAACTTATTGTTCTGAATGAAGACTTATACATATTTTAAAAATTGTTCCCACTGTTCAAGCATCAGTACAGCTTCTCTCTTGTTTGGGTTCTCTTATGGACCTTTAAATCTGAAGAAATGACTGAGCGTTTCCGAACATTCACACAGTCTCTCTCCTGTACCAATTCTCTCATGCACCATCAAATCCCACTTCCATTTATTACCACATTTGGCGCAGGTCAGCTGTCCCACTCCCTTAGGGATTCTTTCTGAGAGTATTTTCAAGTGAGTAGCTGTGTTGGTCTGCAGTAGAAAAGCAAGATTCAAGTCTGGTGGAGGCTTAAAGACCAACAAGATTTCCGGGGTGTAAGCTTTCAAGAGTCAAAGTTCTCTTTTGTCAGAGCTCTGACTCTCAAAAGCTCATACCCTGAAAATCGTTTGGTCTCTAAGGTGCTAGTGGACTCAAAACTAGCTGTTCAACGGCAGACTAGCATGGCTACCCTCTGAAACTGTAGTGAGGTAAGAATCCTATGTCCCTATTCAGCCCTGGGGAGGGCCCATTGCTCTGAATTTGTGAATGAACTCAAGTTCAGCAATTTCACATTGTAATCTCCTCTTGAAGCTTCACTGATTAAGGGCTGCCACTCTCAATCTTTGTGAATGTTCTCATAGAATCCATTATTATTACCTCTCTCAAACTGAATTAATTTGCCCCCCCCCCCCACAAGGCCTTTACCTGACTAGCTCTCAGAGGCTTCTCCCCAATCAGGGAAAACACTGTGTTCTTTCTGGAAGATTTTTGTTTGACATTTCTCCTTCCCAAACATGCCTCGTCATCTGCCGGAAGAGAATCCAAGCATCACCCTTTCTAACAAATATTTACACTTGGTTTTTATTAAACATTTTCTCGTCCCCAGATATTTTACAGCTGGTAGATGGGTTACATTGCTGAGAAGAGTTGCATAGCGGTCAGGGGTCGATCTAGCTCAGAAGGGTCAATATATCGAATACACAGCAAGACAGTCAACACCAAAAATACAAGTCCTGAACAGACAGGAACCAAAAGAAGGATAAAAAACTCATAATGGAATAAATGACTTGCAGGATTGGAAAGCTTTCTGTTGAATCAGCATCTAGAGAATAGCTTGGCTTAGCTGGACACAAACAAACCTAGTGATAACGCCGAAATATTTGGTTCAAGGTATTTCCCATCCATTTTGTTTTGACACGATGGTCTCTGTCCCCTCTTTGTCATTGCAGGGCCAAATTTCTTTCAACACCAGAGTCCCATAATTGGTTCATCAGGTAGGTCTTAAAGATGGCTGTAAGGCACTCCCCACAATGCTGGGGAAAGGGGGCCTAACCACCACCCCCCGGTGCTATTTCCCTCACTGGGAAAGGCCTCTGTCTGCCCACCACCAGGTTCCTCACATATCTCCCTCCTCTCTCACAGACCCTTCTATCATCTTGTATGCAGGGGGGGGCAGTGGGAGTGGACCCCACCAAAAGCCCTGGGCCTTGTTGGTTGTCCCAACCCCACTGCCCCTCTTTTCCATTAGGCCCTCTAAGGTTCCCCCTCCCCATCCATTTTGTTTTGACACGATGGTCTCTGTCCCAACTTTGTCATTGCAGGGCCAAATTTCTTTCAACACCAGAGTCCCATAATTGATTCATCAGGTAGATCTCAAATATAGCTGTAAGGCGCTCCCCGCAATGCTGGGGAAAGGGGGCCTAGCCCCCCCCCCCCGGTGCTATTTCCCTCACTGGGAAAGGCCCACCACCAGGTTCCTCACATATCTCCCTCCTCTCTCACAGACCCTTCTATCATCTTGTATGCAGGTGGGGGGCCAGTGGGAGTAGGCCCCACCAAAAGCCCTGGGCCTTGTTGGTTGTCCCAACCCCGCTGCCCCTCTTTTCCATTAGGCCCTGTAAGGTTCCCCCTCCCAGACAGCTCAGCTTTTCATTTCATTCACTGAATTTGCACGATCAAAAGTGGAACGACCAACCAGCCCCCTCCCATCACTCAGAACCCAAAATGGTCCTGTCTCTGATGGCTTTTGGGAAAAAAATATTCAAACGAGACAGGATTCTGAGGGGCGATGATCCCATAAATGGAACTGCCATATGCAGTGGCAGTGTACCGTCAAATGTCAGTGGATAAGAAGATAAGAAGCTGTGTTATTCCGAGTCAGACACTAGGTGGAATTCTAACTCAAGAAGAAGGGTCGGCTCCCGCTCCCAGATGATATAAGGTTACCGCTATCTGTCTACCGTAGTTCAGACTAGTACAACATACCGCAAACACGTGTATAGCGGATTTTGATTACAATTAAATTTTTAAAACAACCTGAAATTTAATTTTGTATACATTTCTGTTAGCCTAACACAAAGTGAGAGTTTAAATAAGACCCCAGGTTAATAACCACTGGTGAGGCTATGACCAAGTACAGCCTGAACTCCACCCCTGAGACAGACAACTGGTCCATTCAGCCCGGTAGATTTCTCTTACTGGAAAGGCTGAGATTTGCTCTACCAATGAGTCGTAGGGTATTGGACTTTGGCCGAGATCCCAATTCAAATCCTTGCTTAGTTTGATTTTAGGTGACCTTGGTCACTCACCTTCTCAACCCTAACCTACCCCACAGGGTTGTCGTGTAGATAAAACGGAGGAAAGAAGAACTATACACATCACACCCTGAGCTCTGTGGAAGGAGGAGCCGATAAAAATATAATTCACAACACCACTTAGGAGTGGACGAAAGCCAGCGTTCCCTCTAAGCTGAGTGAGTGTGAGCTAGCTCACAGTTTTTTAGCCCCTGGCTCATGCATTTTTGTCTTCGCTCAGGAAGGATAGCCCCAGAACAGACTAGTTTATGCTGTAGCCAAATCACTCGCTCGCAACTTTAACGCCAGTAGGCTCACCAAGTAGAATTTTTGCTCACAAGACTCCACAGCTTAGAGGGAGCATTGGACCAAACCCTCTTAGTCAAAGTGTACCTTGTCCTTTACCATTCAAGGTAAGGCTTGATCCACCGAGAATATCTCCCACACAACTGAAGTGAATGGGATGTCTTTTAATCATGCGCGGCTGCTGAGGTTTAGCCGCCCATAACCGCTCGATTCTCAAAATAAAGATACTGGCGCTGGTCAAAGCTTTCCTGATAGGAAAAAAACCCCATAATTTATATGGAACAAAGTTTGAGAACAGCGGCGACTATAAGACCGACAAATTTTATTCCAGGGAATGCCCCCTCTAAGCTGTAGAGTCTTGTGAGCAAAAAAAAAAAATCTACTTTGTGAGCTCCTGGCATTAAAGTGGTGAGCGAGCGATTTGGTTCCTGCATAAATTAGTTTGCCTCTGGAGCCATCCCTTCCTGAGCGGAGACAAAAATGTGCGAGCCGGAGGCTAAAAAAAACTGCGATCCAGCTCACACCAACTCAGCTTAGAGGGAACACTGATTCCAGGTACACGCTGTTGTGTGAAGGCACACTTCTTCAGATCAGAGGTTATTTCGGGGGGGAACACGGGGGATCGCAGCTCCCCCGGGTGAGGTACGGGGGGCGGGGCACATGACGAAGCCCCGC